CTTTGGATGGAACCACTAACTTAACGAAAGTCTAGATTAATAATGACCGAAAAAGGAAAAAAAAAGGTAGAAAAACCATTAATAAGAAGTATTTGTGACGATTTACCCGATAGACCATAGGGAATTTAATTATTGATGGGTGGCAAGTAAAACGTCATGGCAAATGGGAATGTAAACAATACACCTGTCAATTGAAAAAAAAAATGTAAATTGTTAATAATGATGAAAATTAACCTCACAATGTTAATCTGAATAAATTACCATAAAAAATAAAGTATTAGCTCTACAATTCCACATGATACAATAAAATTGTATCACCTCTCAACCCATGACGAGAAAACTGACAAGGCTTACGTACACCTCGTTGCTCCCCTTCGAACTGCACATACGATCATTGAGGCCATTGCACTGAGTGACGCAGCTCCTTCTGCGAAGAGTGAATTGAGCGGAGAGCCGCAGTTCGAGCTATTAAATCTATTCGTGATGATTCTTGTACAACTCCTACAATGCGCTATTACAGTTAACGTAAGATTTGTTTTACCTGTAATTTCAAACAGACTCTCAACCGCAATATAAATAAAATAAAAGTGCTAAACTTGCTTTATTTTGCTTACACGTTCCTTTTATAACAACAAATAAATTAACTTTTACAGAACTAGTGTTATAAATGAACATTGCTTACCACCACAGACAAGAATAATAATGGTTTATTTGTACAGAGAGAGCAATAAAAACACAATCAAAGACAGCCATAGTTTGTTGAAGATTTGTCTTTGATAGAATCTTTGTTTCTTCAGATTAGCGTCAACTTGAACGTTTGAGTTGAACATGTGGCGATCACAGACAAACTTCCAAAAATCAATGGTTGTCTTTGACCGTATTTATTACAAATGACTGATTTGACTGTTGCCTATTTGACCAATATTTGTTGTTAGAAACAAATAAAGTTGTATCTGTCTTTCAACCCTTGATAACACTGTGGTTTCAGAAACTCTAGTAGTTAGTGTGTGCAATTCCAACCTTTGTTGCTTGTGGTAATAAGCTCGAATTGGGGTTAGGTTTATAATTTTTCGACCATTATGGCCCTATTAAGTTGATAAATTCATAAGAATATGCATTTTCTACACATTTATAGGTTTCGCGGTAGTATTTAATATTAATGTTTAACTTGCATAAAGAGCAACCAAAACAAGTTAATTAAAAAAATAAGAAATTGCATAATAATAAACAATGTGTCTAAATTACAAACAAACAATTTTAGATAAAAAAAATAATTATTTTTTCTTTAACAAACGCTACATTTATGTTAATACTAAAACATGAATACATTATTAAACTACTTAGAAAATAACACGCCGCATTACAAATTTCAGAAAAGAGTAGTTTAACAAAATTTTGAGGTTAACGCCATCAAGCTTTTGCAAGGGATGATCACGTAAATTCTTATTACTAATTTACCTCGTTCACAATAACCTCTGATCGTGTGCAGAATTTTATGAATTGTAAAATTTTATCATAGAATTTGGAATTTTTTTCAAAAATCTGTATTCATAAGCAGGAAATCAAAGTCATCTTAATACATCATAGATATAGAAGTATATTATTTTCTAAACTGTCAATGTTAATGTATATACAGGGAGTCCCAGATAAAACTCCGCTGTCCTATATCTTGACAAAAGAGATATTGAAATTTTTTAATGCCTTTGATTTTAACTTGAACGGGGAAGCTCAATTTAGTACATTGCAAATGTAACGCATATATACAATTACTAGCCCCGCCCACTGGCCCTCTATTTTCTTAGAGGGTATATCATTTGCCAAAATCAGTCTTATCTTAACAAGTACTAGCCCCACCCACCCGTTCTTTTTCTTCGATAGTTATATCATTTGCCAAAATTACTCGTGTCTTAGTAAGTAGTAGCCCCGCCTACCCACACCCTGTTTTCTTAGAAGTTATATCATTTGCCAAAATCAGTCTTATCTTAGCAAGTACTAGCCCCGCCCACTCGCCCTTTATTTCCTCAGAGGGTATGTGACTTGCCGAAATGACTCGTATCTTAGAAAGTACTAGCCCCGCCCACCCGCCCTGTATTTTTTTGGAGGGTATATCCTTTGCCAAAATCAGTCTTATCTTAGCAAGTACTAGCCCCGCCCATGCATTAGTAAACTAAATAAACACGTGATTCATCATTAATCGCGAACTAAAAAGAAGTTTTGTGTTCATTGTAAAGCGCGACAATTCCAACATACTCTTAAGGGACGGGACACAGATCTTACAATTTCTTTGAAAACAAACTATTTATACTTTATTTCACTCTACTTCAGTATTTGTATATTTATAACTTTTATTTTGCTTAAGAGGAGACGCTACGTTTGGCTCTTTTGGTATTGTCAATATATTTTCAGAATGTAATATCTGCATTTTTAACAGACCTATGGTTACAAAATTTTAAATGTAACTTGTCCATGATCCTCACTATATAACTGCGAGGGCAGTTTTTTTAAACAATTGTTATCATATATTTTTTAAATTTTGTTGAAATTTTTGCATCACTTATTTTAAAAGATCAATGTTTCAGTTATTTATGGACATTTTAGAACAGGGTTGTCACCACTGTTTTCAGCTTGCAAAACTTTGGAAATCGTACTAGAACTATGTTTGACTTTATTTGTTGGGACTGAGATATAGTAAAAATAAAAGTTAGCAACTCCTATGACACAAGCTTTTTTTACTATGTATCGTTTCTAACAAAAAAATCGACTATATATCTGGTATGATTTCTGGAGTTTTGTAAGCTGAGAACAGTGTTGAAAACCGTGTTCTGAAATTTCCTTTAATAATTGAGATATTGATTTTTAAAAATACGTTACGCAAAAATTTCACTAAAATTAAAGAGAAAAATATGATCACAAATTGTTTTTAACAAATTTGCCCTTGTGTTATATAAAGAAAGTTATAGACAACATAGATTTGAAATTTCAAAATCATAGGTCTGTTAATAACAGAGATATTACATTCTGAAAATAGACCAAAAATTCCTCTCAGAAAACGCAGCGATTGGCCTTAATAGACTATAAATGAAATACACACCTAAATGTTTTATATCACTGTAATCGCAATTTAATTTGTGTGATGTACTAAATTAAGCTTCAAGAGAGTCCCAGACAAAACTCCGCGGTCTTATACCTTGACAACAGAGGTTTCGAAATTTTTTTAACGCCTTTGACTTTAACTTGAACGAGAGAGCTCAATTTAGTACATTGCAAATGTAAGGCATATACATATATTATCCCCGCCCACCCGCCCTCTATTTTCTTGGAGGGTATATCATTTGCCAAAGCTGGTCTTATCTTAACAAGTACTAGCTCCACCCACTCGCTCTTTATTTTCTGAGAGAGTATATCATTTGCCAAAATCACTCGTATCTTAGGAAGTACTAGCCCCGCCCACCCGCCCTTTATTTCTTTAGAGGGTATGTCATTTGCCCAAATCACTCGTATCTTAGGAAGTACTAGCCCCCCCCCCACCCACCCTCTATTTTTTTGGAGGGTATACCCTTGGCAAAAATCAATCTTATCTTAGCAAGTACTAGGCCCGCCCATCCATCACTAAACTATACATATTTGGATTGTTTGAGCCTTTTTAACACGTGATACATCATTAATCGCGAACTAAAAAGAAGTTTTGTGTTCATTCTGAAGGATGACAATTGCAACGTACTCTTAATCGACACAGATTTTACAATTTCTTTAAAAAAAAACTATTAGTATTTTATTTCATTCTACTTGAGTATTTGTATATTTATAACTTTTATTTTCCTTCATGGACTGAAAAAAACCTAAGTGAAAATTTGAAGTTTTTGGTTGGGTTGAACACACAAATTTTGGTTAACTTTTTGGTATCTATAGAACATTCTTAAAATGCATTTAAAATTTCATAGCATCTGTCCAATAATTGTGAAAATTACTTATTTATTCATTTAAATATTACAATGGAGCGTCCTCCTATTAACCATATGAGGTAAATGAAGCTTTTTGATCACTAGGTGCACTACAATAACACTGAAAACATGCGAAGAGCGAATTGCGCGGACAGCCACAATTCCACTCAACCCGTGATGACTGGCGTGATGACTGACGCGATTCACCGAATAACGCAAGTTAAAATACTAAAATGTTTGAAGACAAAACATGTTTAAAGGAAGAGAATCCAGGTTATGAATCTTTAATTTCGTAATTAATTTTAGTCATGTACTGAATTTAATTTTTTTTTATTTTCTACGTTCCCATAAATTGTGAAAGTATACATTCAAATATTTGAACGAAAAAGCATCTGAAATGGCTTCAAACACGCCGAATGGCACTGTCAATTATATGATCACGAACGTCAATTTATTGCCTATACCATCGCATCATTATCCACCCCAAATTTTTGATTTCGTTTCCTTCCCTTTCGTTCTCCATCACGCCAATCTGTCGGCAAATTTGCAGATTTCGCATTTTGCATTCATTATTTCATGAAACAGACTACTTAATGACTTGACGGATTAAAAAGCTTGTAATAAGACTTTAATAGTTTAATAAGAAAATAATGGAAATAATCTTAGCCAAAACCGTGGACGCAAAGACATGCACACTGATTAATATTTACAGAAATAAATTTGCAAAGCCGCGACTTTTATGGACCACTTAGAAATAAGATATCATAATTGACACACTTTCGGCTTGCATTTCAAAGAGAAAGAAAGTGGAGAATTAAAAGGCGAATTCTCAGTGTAAAGTAGCGTTAAAATATTGATTTCCTTCACCCGTAATAAAACTCGTGGTTACGACGACGTTATTCCGTATTATTCTTTCCTACACACGAAGCATTTTCCATTACGATATGACCACGTCTCCACAAAAAAATTAAAGTACCTATATAGCAATAGAGAAGGTAATTTCGCTGTACGAAATTTACTAAACAAAACCCATTCAAACACGTTCTCTTTTGTTTTTAGGTGATCCCCAACATGTTTCACACAGCCAGCATCTGGTTAACTCTCGCTTTAGCCGTGCAGCGTTACATCTTCGTCTGCCATGCACCACTTGCAAGAAAGTTCTGCACAATGTCCAACGTTTACAAGTGTCTTATCTATATTCTAGTCGTGGCGGCTCTTCATCAGAGTTTCAGATTTTTTGACTCAGAATATAGCACGGTAAGTAGAGGAAGTCTCGTTCTGGATTAGCAGAGTTTTGATTAAATTTGGTCTTGGAAAATTAACTTGCTTATTATAATAGTTACTTAATGTCGAGGTAAAGGGGCTACCTCACACGCCGCGTTGATCCGGACATATTGAAGATGCGTCTGCCTCCAATTAGTCCCATTAATTACTAATCCGAGGCGCTGAACATACCAAAGTGAATCAGATTAACATTCCATTTCTAATCTCTATAACGCGGCACTTACTTCTAATTGGAATGGAACGTCATATCTCATACCAATATGCATAACATTAATGTTTATTATATGACATCAATAACGCAGGAGACGAGTTGGGATTCCATCAGGGGTAAATATTTGGCATTTTTTCAATATTTATCGTAATATTATGCTAAGCGTCTTAAAGTTTTTTACAGGATAAAACATTCGATGTATGTAGTTAATATTCATAGTTTTATATATACAGTCGGATTAATTCCAGCTTACATTCAATAGTACGAAATAAGAAACCTAAAACTGTCCAACTGTTGCTATTCTTTACGCCTTACTAGCACGATAGGGCCTCCGCACATACAGCTAAGGACAGAATAATTAATCATTACCTCTCTCTTCATTTGAATTTATGGAACCTATCCATACTATTGAAGAACTAAAAATCAAAATTAGAAACCAGTGCAATAGAGTAATAGCTGAGCACCTAATGCGTGTTTCTGATAACATGGAGTGACGGGTTGCAATGTGCTTGGAAGTCTGCCACTTTCAGTAATTGCTTTGAAAGAATAATTGGCATTGTTTATTTCATTCTTCATTATTTTATTAAATAAAAATTATATACCAATCATGTGTAAATTCCATTAGTTGGTTTACGCCAATATAACCCTCTTTGTAATTGGAATTAATTGGATCAATGTGATTGGATCCTGGATCGTTGCAGTGGAACCACGTGGAATGGTGGAACGGTCAAATGTTGGTAAATTCATTATCGATACAACAGTTACTAGTCTAGACAACAATGAGTGAAACAAGCTTGGCCACACGTTCTAAATTTGTTTGATTTCCAGGCTTTCGATTTTTTTTTTTTTAGGAAATATAAAATCACGAATGTAAAACATTATGAATTAAATAATTTTCGAAGCATAATTTATAAGTTTTATTTCACCGAAGCATGCAGTCGCTGCAGTACACTTAAATGAAAACTTTGTCTGAAGTTACAGTAGGAACTAAAACACATGCGTTTTTCGCTACGTTTTCTTCACTCAAACAAGCAACGCCAGCTTAAGGCTGGCGTCTGGTTCGGTTTAGCCCTATACTAAATACATTGAAAACATCGTCGCGGTTTCCGGAGTTGCATTTTAAAAATATGAGATATATCGCTTTAAAAAAATTATATTTCGAATTAACAAACTTCAGTCCAGGGGACCTCCATATTTATATTCATATCTAGTATGCAGTTTTTACAAAAAAAAAAATTATAAAGTTGAACAACTTTTACACCACATTTTAACCGGCACATTGATGCATTTTTTGACGAAGTGCTGAAGTTTTTTGCATTCTGAGATAGGAGGTCCCCTGGGGAAAAGCGTCAGTTTTTTTTTGATACCATTTATAATATTAAAAAATCCACGACTGAGGTAAATAACTCGCGAAAAGTCAAAATCTATCGAAACGAGAAATCGGCATTAAACGAGCTGTGATGCGGTAGCAGAATGCAGGTTTACTTAGATTCTGACTAGGTTGGAGATTTCAATATTTTAAAAATGCAATTCCGGAAACTACGACGATGTTTTCAATGTATTTAGTATTGGGCGAAACTGAACCAGACGCCACCCTTAATGACTTTTTCAACTAAATACCCGTTATTTAGAGTGAGAATTTGTTTAGATTGTTTTAGTGGAGAAAAATATTTATATCTATTCCAATATACGTACGTAGAGTGTGTAACACTAATAACAACTGTATTTTGTGCACAGAATTACGGGAAAATTATTAGGTAAACTGTTTTTAATTTAATTTGTGTAATATTATATATTGCAATATATTTCGAAAATTTCAGTACATTATTAATCACAAATAACGGAACATCTGAGGCTATAAATTTCAAGTGAGGTTTTATGGACAAAATTTTAAGATGACGTCATCACGTTTTTGGAAAGGATGAATAGATGATTTTTAATAACGATTTACTATGTCGCTGATAACCTTAAAATGCGTACAAAATTCAGGTCAACCAATAATAGTAATAGTAATAGTTAATTTTATATGTCAATAAAATCAGAAAATTAGATATAACTTACACCAGAACTATCGAAATTTAAATTTTCCAAATTCTTTTAATGAATAAAAAGCAGTCTCAATCAATAAGGGTTTTATACAAATTCTGAAACTGGACTATCAAATTTTTGGTGAGGATGATCACACAAATTTTGGTTGCACAAGTTGCTCAAATGTTGAATATCGAAAAAATTACATAAATTATATAGAAATTTTTTGGCAGAAAATGGAATTTTAGAAACATTAAGCAAGCCAGAAAATGTGTAACGTGTAATTTTTCTATGCCAGAAAATCAGTTTTAATTTAATATATTTTTTTTAATTTTCAATTTTTCAGTTTTATGATTTTGTCGTTTTTGGTTTTTCAATTTTTATATTTATTTTTTTTTAACTGTATGATTTTTAAATGAGGTTATGCATTAAATCCGACAATGACAACAAAGGACATCGGTGTCATTCGAATGTTGTTACTTTCGTCACATTTTCAAATTTTTAAAATTACACAGTTTTTTGGGTTTATGATTTCTCAGTTTTTCGATTTTTATTTTGCAATTTTTTAACTGTACAATGTTTCAATTTGCAAGTTTTTAGAGCTTTCCATTTTAGGTTTTTCAAAATTTTTACTTATCAGCATTTGATTTTTTCAATTTTTTACTTTACAATTTTTCGATTTTACAATTAGCTCGATTTGTCAATTTCTAGATCGTTTATTCAGTTTTTGGATTTTTCACTTTCTCGATTTTTAATATTCCGACTTTCATGTTCTCCATTTATGAATCTTTATTTTTCCAATTTTTCGACTTTAGGTTTTCTAGTTTTCAGTTTGTAATTTTTCAATTTCACAATTTATGGAATTTTTTATTTTTTTATTTTGTACTTTTTCGGTCTCCCAGATTTTTGATTTACAATTTTTCGATATTTCAATTTTGCACTTCCTCAGTATTTTAATTTTTGCCTTACTGCAATTAATCCAGATGTCAATTTTTAATTTAGCTTTTAAATTTTTCAAGTTCTCAATTCTTTAATGTTTCATTCTCCCAGATTCTAATTTTTAATTTAATTCAAAAAGAACAAATTTATTAAAACTGAAATTTTTACGATTTTACAGTTTTTGGATTTTTCAATTTTTGTGTTTAAATTTTTTTTATCATTTTTAATTGTTTTCAACGCGTTTATTTATATTGTGTTGACTGAGCATTTTTTTAGTAGTACCCATTTTTGAGGTTTTAAAAATTCTTTTCTGATTTTGCAATTACTCGATTTTCCCATTTTTGTTAAATTTTCCGATTTTTCAGTTTGCAATTTTTCGAATCTTTGGATTTTCGATCTTGCAAATATTCGTTCCTTCAGTTTTCGATCTGCGATTTTTCGATTTTTCAGTTTGTAAATATTTTAATTTTCCTTTATTTGAATTAGACGATAATTCAAATTTTCTTCAATGTTTTCAATTTTATGATTTAGCACTTTTTCTAGTTTTCAATTTTTAGCCTTTTCAAACTTTAGCATTTAAATAATCAAGTTTTAGTTTTTGCATTTTCAAAATTTGGACAAAAAGAACAAGTTTACTTCAAACTGAAATTTTGAAAAATTATAAAGCAGGAATTTTTTTCATGCCGCTCTTATATTTTCGATGTGTTTCTTGGAAAAATGGAGACATCCGAAATAAAAAATCAAAAAATCGGAAATCTAACAACTGAAAAGACAAAAAAAAATCGAAAAATTGAGAAATCTAAAAATAATAATAAATCAACCAATCTAAAAGGTGAGGCAACGAAATAATAAAAAATCGAAAAATTAAAAAATTTAAACTGGAAACTCAAAAAATTGCAAATCAAAAAATTGCGGAAACAAAAAATTGAAATAGCACAATTTTAAATTTGGAATTTCCAAAAAACTGCAACACGAGAAACTGAAGAATCGAAAAATTCAAAAATAGAAAAATTGTGGAATCCAGAAATTGCAATGGTGAAATAACGAAAAACTAAACAATCGAAAAACTAAACTGGAAACTCAAAAAATTGCAAATCAAAATACTGGAGAAAACAAAAATTAAAAATCGAGGAACGGAAAATTCGAAACACTGAAAAAACGAATTCGAAACACTGAAAAAACGAATCCGAAAGTTGAAAACTCAAAACGTTGTTAATCGAAAAATGGATTTATTCAAAAATTTGAGGAATTGCATTACGGACATTGTACATAGTATTTGGGTTTTAAATTGTATCAAATAACATAGTCTTACACATGTAGTTTATGACTCCGAATTGAGATTTTTGGAAAAAAATCAAAATTATACAACAACATTTTGCAATTTAATTTTGAATCTGCAAAATCGAATGCTTTGAAATCTTGCAGATGGTTTACAGTTATGATAAGCATGATAAAATTTTAAACACAATATATTTAGTTATCCCCTCCAAAAAATTGATGACGTCACCCCAAAATTTTGCTGAATAAATCCTATCTAAAATGTACAAAATATGATGAGTCTCTTCTTGTAATTTATCATTCCATTCATATTTTTTGGATATGCATATACAGGGTGACCCAAAAAATTAATGAATGCACAAATTTATTTTATTTATTTAATCAGAAACTACAAAACCCAGTGCTTTGAAATCCAATGCGAAAAAAAAAACATAATAGGCATGCAGTCGTCACGTTTCCGACAGCGAGGGAAGTACTGTCTAAACTCTTTAGACCAATTTTTGACATTTATTTTCAA